AGATGCGCCGAGGTAGTTCTTAATATAAAATTAGTTGACCCTACCGTTAGAACAGGTTTTTCGTTGTTTAACGTTATAATTTGTTAAGCTAATTAAATTCGACTGTTCTTTTTTGGTGTTTTTTAAAGAGAAAATCCAGCTAGGGTTGTGAAAAGCTGTTAACAGGTGCCTTACCTTCAGAATTATTTGATTATATTATTGATTCCATTAAGTGCTCCTTGCTATACATTTTCTAACCTACTGCTGATAAAATTGTCTTTCATATTGGAAAACCTGCAGGTTGAAAAAGGTCCGAAAGAGAGAGACAGAACGAGGGAGAGAAAGAGAGAGAGGGAGTGTGTGTGTGTGTGAGAGAGAGAGAGAGAGAGAGAGAGAGAGAGAGAGAGAGAAAGACAGACGGAAAGAAAGTCGGGGCCGCGGGGGTGGGGGTGCGGGGGAACAAGGGAAGAGAGTGCACGATGGAGGGAAAGATGAGGGAAAGAGAGAAAAGGCGAGAGACGGGAAGAGAATCTAGGTGTTCCAGTGGGTTAGGATTCTTTATAAAGATGAGATGGCAAAGGATATGGGCAAATTCTACATAGGTGAATTCTGAGAAGGACGGCCTCATAAATGGTTAATATTATGTCCCTCCCCCCCCCCTCTCTCCCCCCCCCCCCCCCCCCCCCCCCCCCCCCCCCCCCCCCCCCCCCCCCCCCCCCCCCCTCTCTCTCTCTCTCTCTCTCTCGCCCCCCCCCCCCCTCAACCTTAAAACACACAAGCCCGTTCAGCACCCCCTCACAAAGAAGAAAAAAAAAACAAGAATAAAAACGGAACAGTAGACTGAAGGAAAAACCCATTTTAATGTAATTTGTTGAATTATAAAGACTAGTTTGTGTAATTTCGGACAGTTTACATAGGTTCTGAGGCCCAATATGATTACGTGGGGCAAACAGAAAGGAATGGGACAATTAACGGTAGAAAAGACGAACATTGTACGAGGGATTTGGTTTCGGGAGAAGCTTAGTGGATGTTCATAATTAGATTTTGAATGGTGGCAGACAGTAAAAGTTGTTTTTGTTTTAAGTTTAAGTTTTTGTCTGCAAAAAACTGCGGTTGATTTTGCTGAAAATAAGCACTTCAGGGACTTGGATAGGGATCATGTCTTTGTATTTTTAGCTAGTAAGTTGAGAAGGAGGGAAGCGTTATTACGGTTTTCTTTGGAAAAACCAAAGATGTTCAGATTCACTAACGTGTTTGATTTTCTCCCATTATGTCTTAAACAGTTGTGGGCGTGGTATGCTATATACATACCAATGTGGTGGCTGTGTGCGTGTAAGTATATACTATGTGAGTATGTATATGTGTATGTGTATGTGTGTGCGAGTATAAAGTGTGTATATGTGTGTGTGTGTGTGTGTGTGTGTGTGTATGTGTGTCTGTGAGTGCTGGTCTATGAGTGAGTGTGTATGTAAGCTCCAAATATTCATTTAAGAGAGTAAAATTATGACGATAGTGTCGTCCATTTCTCATAGGACTTTACCAAGGTGGCCCAAACTCAAACAACTGCTGTTCAAACTTGTCTCGTTGGCGATTACAACCAGAGGAACCCTTACTGTAGCGAGCAATCATAATGCCAGGTGGGCATCTTTTGTTGTGGAAATTAGTGCTGGGCAGCGATGTTCCCGATCATTAAAAGCTAGGAATCGTAGGAATCGACTCCGAACCAAATTACTTACTTTCGAAGAAAAGAAAAAATAGAAGACGGAAGGCCTCATTGACAAGCGAGTAAAAGTTATCAAGAAAATAAATATATATATATATAAAAATATACATATATATATATATAAAAATATACATATATATATATATATATATA